GGAGTCATACACATTAATAATTTTTTTTTCCAAGGCACCATGACTTTATGTTCTGATGTTATTGTAGCTTGTTTGTGTATTCTAAATGAAGTATATGTATAATTTCTACATTATTCTTGCATATGACAAGACGTTTGTCCAGGCAAAAGTTGACCTTTCTGTCCTAATTACATGACAAAACTCAATGAATGATGCAAAACTTTATTTTGGTATAATAAGCATAATCTAGAGGGCTTTGCCTTTTCTTATAAGCCATTTCTGATTCCAACTGATTAACTACAGGTTAAGTTATTATTTGTTGTTCCTACAACTTGGTTAAGCGACAAGACTTTTGTCAGGCACTGTATGTAAATACTGTTAAAGCTAATAAAGTCAATAATATTGAGGCAGAACATTTTTACATTTTTCCAGAGAATAGAATATCTCTTTCAAGTGGATGAACCTCCAAACAGCTTTTACTGAAAAAATAAGCAAAATTACTACATACTATGCCCATATAATAAGATTATACATATAGATTTTACAGATCAAATGCAGGAAGGAAGGTTACGTTTATATGGCGCTTTTCAAGATACCCAATGAACTTTACAGACTCAATAAGGGGCCACTTCAACTGCCCCCACTGTTTTACACCCACCTGGATGATGCAACAGCTGCCTTTCTGCACCAATATGCTCACTAGACAATAGCTAAGGTGGTGAGGGAGCAGCAGAGAATTCACCAATAAGATGCAGGGGATGATCAGAAAGCCAGATCTGATAGGGCCACAGTGGGAAATGTTAGCCAGAGAATTGGGAATCACCCCTACTCTTCCGAAATATCCCCAGGTACCTTTTATGACCTCCAAGAGTCAGGACCTCATCTGAAGGACGACAGTATTTCTATAGCACAGTGTCCCCATCACTGCACTGGGGCACTGGGCTACCCTGTTGGCCACCAGCACCTCTTCCAGCAGCAAAGCAGTTTCCCTAGTTGGTCTCCCATCCAAGTACTGGCCAGGCCCAAAACTGCTTAACTTCAGCTGGACAGCTGCTTACTCAAACATTTCTACAAATTGTCTAACTTTTTCTAGAATATCTGGTAGTGTTTATATGTCAGAGTCATGGGAGGCTCCTTCTGCGGCAGGAAAGGAGAGAGTTGCTATCTCCAAAGACTCCTCCCTTCCTTCCTCAAGCTGCCCTTTGTGATGCATGTCTGGTTTGTACCTTTTCATTGCATTTCAGCCACTGCTGTCACAAAGAAGTGCAGCAGAGCTTCCCAACACGGCGCCCCCTGGCGGGTTTACCCGTTGCTGCAGCGTGTTCCTCCTGGCAGCAGTGCACAGCCTGTGGATGAGGAGAAGGCCCAGAAACACCACCAACATGAAAGAGCCCAGAAAGCCGGCAAAGTTGATGCCATGGTTTGGGTATACCTGAGAAGATGAAGGTGACAGGGAAACAAGTCACGTCGAAATCATTTTAACCGAAAGCGTGAATAATCCCAAAGAAGCTGAGGTGTGGGTTTGCTGTGGCAGCTTTCTAGATTCAGCCTTGTCATGGACAGGACTGGAACACATGCAAATGTCAGGGCATTTACTGAAATAAATACCACTGGCCTACTATGTGCTTCAATTCATACAGTATGGAGAAGACCACCCAGCCCTCACACCACAGACGAGTCCCTTCTGAGAGAAGAGGGGGATTCAGACATCCTCTAATCTCACTCCAACAGTGTTTGGAAGAGGAAAATGATTATTTAAATACCTTTCGTCTCAAAAAGCCATCGACCGAGTTCAAACGCTATGAATTCTGGGCCAAAAAAACCTGAACTAGCATCAAATAGCTTTAAGAAAAAGGGATTCGCTCTGAAAAATCCACCACTTCAGAAGGGGAGGTTAGATAAATAACTTAAAATGTATGCCATGCGGAATATGAATCAGAAAATCAGACAGCTGCTTTAGACTAACAATCAGATACGGTACACCATAAGAGTTCCTCAACGGCAGCCAGGGTGTACTGGAATCAAGCAGCTAACTGGCACTGAATTGGAATTCATGCATTCAATTAAGTAGAGTTTTAATGTTAAATGAAAAACTACAAAAGAGGTGAATATTTTTAAATAATAACTATGTTTCATGGGTCCACTCTAATCCTTTCCTCAGAATAGCAATGTGCCCTAGTGTACAACATGCAAAACAATGTCTCGAAGTACTAGTAGCTTAAGACTGCCCCCTGGTGTACAAAATGTATTGTATGCTTACAATCTTTTGCTAAAGTTTACAGTTAAGCTTAAGCCATGGATGGCCAATCTTATCCACAAAGGGCCGGTGTGTATGCGGGTTTTTGGGATAACCTTTAGGTCAGCTGTTCAAACCCAGGTGTGACGACGCTTCATCCAATCAGTCCTCTAATTAGTAATCTTATTAAGGAGTTGCAGTGAAAACCCGCATACCCAATGGCCCTGTCTGGATAACACTGCCCACCCCTGTCTTAAGCTACAGCAAGCTAAAGGATTTTTGCATTATAGTGGTTCTCGATTAAGAATTCTTAAACAAGCACAGAAAACCTCAAATTAAATTAGCAAACTCCAACCAAAAATGATGGAAACATGGTAAATTTGGGAATTTACCTTCTCAGTAGAATTGATCCTAAGTGTGAGATTGGCAACCACAGGACCAAACAAGTTGATATCATTCTAGAAAATGAAACATAGGAACATGCTGTTGAACACAGGAATGCAGTACCGCAAATTCACTTTATTAGATATCAAGTCCTGCTTGGAGACCACTCATAGGGTTGGGAACGCCAGGACATTGGGGTTTACCTGAGAGGCGTTGGAAAAGGTCAGGTAGGCAGGCAGTTCCAGGATCTCATCCCTGTGGGCTCTGATGATGGCGCTGTAATTCAGTGAGTAGTGCAAACCAGCTGCAAAAAGTAAGAATAATAACAACCTCAAGCATATACTTTTTAAAATCAAATTATCTTTTTATTATAATATACAAATAACATTCCAGATCACACAATCCGTAAACAGTCTCCACAGAGAGCCAAGCAGATTTGAAAAGGTTAAGAATCATTGCAATATCAGATCCATTTCCTGCGGCATGCTGGGAAGAGCTGTTTGATGTTTCTGTGAGATATGGCTGCATGAACATTAATAAACCAGGTATTGGCCACGCAACTAAAAAGTTGATCCGCACACAATCTGATGCAGCTAGATAAATACTGAATAAATAAACCGGAACATAAATAGCTGAATATCTGAATGTTAGCTATGATCCTCAGATGAAATGTCACTAATTAACACTGTCAAGTTTAGTGCATCTTACACTTTGAGAATGTTATTCTTAGCAGAATAGAGAATAATAGAAGCATGCAGGAGAATGACTCAGCTGTCTGCTGGTGTAGGGCCAAGATAAGACATGGATGCATGTGTCTAATTTACTTGATATTCAGATGGTGTCAACCTCCTAGAAACTAAAAAGAATAAATTGAACAGTAACCCAACATTTGTTTAGTTGTTTTGTTGCTTGTGTGCCTCAAAAATACCCCTTTGTGGAAGGAAGGTCTGTTTGCGTGTTTCTGACGCGTATGCAGTACTGTCTATGGCACACTGCCTTGGTATCTGAGTGGTATTCCATACCCAACAGGGAATCCTCAGCAAAAGTCAGGAAGCCCTTCTCCAGCACTTTGCCGTGGTTCTCCAGGAGCGACAGGCCGGACACGGTGTCTCGGATGCTGAGCTGGGTGAGGTGGCCGGCGGGGGTGCCTGTGTTGTTAATCAGCAAGTAGATGGTCACCCGGGGGAACTCCAGGCCAACCTCCACCTGCTCCAGGGAGGACAGCACAATATAGAGCGGTCTGCTCATTCCGGCCACACACAGGCTCTGAGAAGAGCAAATTTAAGAATGAGACCTTTTCCTCCCTGCTAAAAAATATGGGCAAAGGGAATAATTGGATGTTCCAGTTCTAATCAGTATCGACATGGAAAATACCAGATACATCAAACAATGCCTTACGTGTGTCATAAATGAATAATCATAAAATTAATAATTAGCAATACCGCATAACAAAGACTTTATTACTTATGCTTAAATTTAAAGTTGCCTTCTCAATTCTAAATGTATTTCTGTGATCTGTGGTAACAAATTATGATTAAATTTGAGGTCTGGAAAGAGAAACGTGAAATGTTTACATGACAAAATAGAGCTCTAACTGTAATAGATAACGTAATAACACAATAGTTAATAATAATGTAATAACATTATTATTATTAATAATAATAATAGCTCTATAAGCTGCCAACTACCAAAAACCACATCAATTTTGAGTGCAGGGCTGGTGGGGACTTAAGCCTACCTTTGCTACCAAACATGTTTACTGTGCACTGCATTCTGGGAATTTTCTCTCTTCTCTTAATTTACGAACAGGGCCACCAATAACTAATAACTAATGTACCCTTAAATTGACTATTGAATATTTACACTAAGAAGGATGTTTGCTTCAAAATGTTTGCTAAAATGCAAATTTCATTATCATGGACCAAAGTTCGGCAGTTGCATATAACCTGAATAATTTAATAATTTATACAACTTTTACTCAAAATAAGAGTTAAGATGATTAGTATGATTTAAACAAAACCCTAGCCTGCATATAAGTCTGTATAGGTTATGTATATTACCTGTGCACATTTACGGAACGTAAGCCCAAATGGTGGTGGCTTCACCAAACTTCTTATCTGTAACACAAGAGACGATGGGTCTTAACATCTGCAGCACCTCATACTATATAGGCATTGTGGTCAACTGGGCAGTGAGAGCAATCACACAACATGCAAAAACCCTTAGAATTCATCAACTGTGAGTGAAAAAATGGTACAATGCCCCTTTATGAAAGCAGGAAACAAATTAGGTATTAGAAGAACAAATAGCAAACTATATAAATAAAGCATGAGGACGAAATCTCACAACTTACAGCTGCTATTTTCTTTATGTTGGTTCGACTTACGATGGGGAGACAGAGAGCATTCAGCAGTCAACTGAATTTTGAATTCTTGAATTTTGATCAGTTTCCAGGCTAGCAAAATACCACATGATATTTTTTACTAATGCCGGTCTCGGTAGTGATCTCGTACAGTGTTTAAAAACGTGTCATTCTCGTTTAACTAAAACTTGTATTCCTTTATTTACTTTTCCAAATACTGTTTTTTGGTTAAAGTAATTAATTACTTATTCAGTGACTGTAGTTATTTATTTACTTAACATATCTTCATTCATATTTGACTTAGGATATTTTCCACTTACAATGGGTTTATCGGAACGTAAATCCATTGTAACTCGAAGAGCAGTGAGTGACTCAGTGAGCAAAGTCTCTGTGTGTGTGATGGGAAGATATTCAGTTCAAGCCCCATCCCTGGCAAAATAATCACATATCCGTGGGCCCTTACGCAAGGTCAGTATCCCCCGGCTCCAGGGGTGCCAGACATTGGCTGACCGTGCGCCGTGACCCCCAAGCCATGGAGAACAAGATTTAGTAGGCAAAGAGAAGAATGCCAATGTACCTTTACCCATGCACGAGGCAAATAAAGGATTTATTCTTTTATTTTTAACTTTGACGTCAACTGTCTACCTCGTCATAACGCCTGTTGGCTAGAATCACAGAGATTCAATAATAAAACCCCATTTAACAGGTGTTGTTGCCATCAAAGCAGCATAAAAAAACTATTCTGTTTACACAAATCAACCACCCACGGCAGAAATATAGTATGTGGATTATCGTGATGATAAGCTAAAAATTAAATGTCACTTGGTGATCAGATTACCAACCAACATGGTAGGAAGAATGTTTTAACATGTCAGAAGTACTAAAATTCCACACTGGCCATTAGGCTTCCTTCCCTCCAGCTTTTGTGGGCCAGAATATACCCTGCAGGAGGGGTCCTTCCAGAAGGTGTGAAACATACATTTTTGTGTTGAGCAGGAAGGTGCCGTCTGCCTCGGGGCAGCATGCCGCCAGTGAAGGGGGTGATCAGGGCGTAAAGGGAGTGGCTCCAGAGACTCGCAGGCGCAGAAGAGCAAAGGGGGCGGTCTTCCACGAAATGGCTTCCTGACCCGTGCTCTGGGACGTCTCTTTGCCCTTGAAGAGTGACAAGGCAGTTAAACAACAGCTATGGAGAGAAAAGAGACACACAAACAGCAGTCACATGTTTCATAGAAAGCAGTTCATAATTACTAAAATAAACGCTTTATTCTTGTTTTGGTCACCCGATAAGCTGTCTGCTACCTAGGGCGCTTTTGGGTGACCTTTCCTGAACAGATAAACCCAACCCTGCCAAAAACACCCACACATAATGCCACTTACATTCATCTGACTGTTTGCTGAAATTCTGCTGCCTTTGTACTGGAACCAAGCAGACCTATTATAAAAATAGTATGTATTATCAATACATTAAACAAAAAATTATGGAATAAGTCAAAGCATTTGCGTCTGTATTGTACTTTATCCGTAGCATTTTGCTTGGCTGACAGGAAGAGTTTATTTTTCTCTTCACTTCACAATCAGCACAAAGTTTTTACAGGGGGTGGACAAGATAACAGAATCGTCTAAGAATATTTTTATGTTATTTGTCAAATATGGAATTTCATCCTTCTTGGAATGCCGTCCGGGACTGTGTATTGGGATATTGTACCGCTCTTCAAGAAGAACGTGTTGGAAACCTACTTTGCATTCTGTGCTCCTGAACTTTCTATAAAAGTTCAATGGCAGATTGATTTGATGATTGGGGAAGGTTTATAACTAAAGTAGGGTGTTCATGAAATCACTCTTGAATCCATTTAGCAGTGTGAAGAGAGCCATTATCATCATGGAACATGGGGGCATCAGGAGGGAGCAGAGTGTTTGCATTATATGGCAGACTGATCCTGTAAAATGGCCTTAAAATCCTTGGCTATTATACTATTGTATAGATCAGTCATCGGACCTAACGACACCCAGAAGAGCATCCATTTGCTTTCTCTAATCACAAACCCATTTGAATGTGGGGAAAAATGAAAGATATTTCATCAGATCTTAATACAATGTAGTTGCTCGTAAACATGATGCAAAAAAACAGTAAACTCAGAACAGCGTCACTTTTTCGAATGCAAGTTAGACCCCCTAATCTAGCTAAAATTGTGAATTGTGTTTTGGTGGCTGATTCCAAGAGTGGCCGCTAGAGGGCTCTCATAGAATTATTCTGTATTCCAATTCTGCAGTCTGAATTAACCTCTCTACCGTAATCCATGGTGTTGTGTTTTACATCTTAGTGCAGTTATCTAAATGTTGAATGCCACTACAAAATACTGTATCTAAACACATATACTCATGTTTACTCACAATATATTCTAAATCACAGTCTACAATTGTATTTTTGTAAACGGCCTTATATTATAAATCAGGGGGCCGGTGCCCTGCACATTTTTGGGTTTTCCCTTATTTAAGACACCTGATAAAACTCCTTATGCTCATTACCACACAGCTCTTGAGCTTAATCATTTATGGTGGAACAGGGAAAGAACTAAGGAACACAGGGCTCCGGCCCCCCAGGACTGGACTTTGACACCCCTGATATAATTACTCAGGTAACTAGGAAATTCTCTCTTATATAAATAAAAGAGAAGGTATTATGGGGGCTGTCTGTACCTTTCCAGGGCCCCAAGGCAAAGCGGCGCCCTAACAGAAAAACTTCCTCCACAGGTAGGCAGGTAATTCAGGGAGCCAAGGAACCTGCCTATTCTGCCTATAGCTAGAGCCAGCCCAGGGTACTGTACTATTCTCCAGTACACAGGGCCCCAGATTTGGTGTTCCACATACAAGGTTATACATATGGGTGCATTGGCCTTGGATACAAGTGCTTACCAAATGGCAGCCCTGCTATGAATTCCAGTTTGGTGAAACTTACGACATACAGTTTTTGTAGATACTGAATCAACGAAGCGCCAATTCAGTTCTGTGGTAATTTTTGCAGTGAGTGGCAAATCTTTGCCTTGCAGTCACTGTTCCTTTTTGAAAAAATGCATCTGTAATTCTGCCTTACTTACTTTAAAGTGCTGTTCTATGTGTCATTTCTCTGAATGAGTCCACCCCCTGTATATTTTGGAGTTGTTCATACCCAATAAGTGCTTTATTGCAGTTATATTTCACGAAGGCATAGGTAGAGGATAAATAACATCAAATGTATCAGTTTAACCAGAGGGGACTGAAACTAAATTAAAAAACAGTAGTTCATGCAAATAAAGCACACAGTAATAGCATCCCCCTGAAGATATTATTATATTTATACAATACATTTATAGAGCAACCTAATACAACATCAAACCCATCAAAACAATCGCAAGAGAGCCGCCAGGTTACTACACGAATTTCTACATACCTCAGGCATACAAAATGCGAGTGCTGAATGATGCGCTGGCGGACGCGCACAGGCTCGCTCCCGATGACACCTGATGAAAGTAACTGTCACGCCGGACGGAAGCAACCAATCGGCTTCCAGGAGACTCTTGGTCATCGGGGCCGAGCATTTGTTCCCCCAGTTCGCCTTGTCGGCGAGATAGGACCGCGGCACAGGAATGGTTACATTATGGCAAGCGCCTGTTATAGGAGAATAACACTTGGGCCCACATGTGAATGTGGTTGTAAAAAAAAGTACCAACGTGATCACCGATACCAGTACCGCGCGAGGACTGGACTTCAGCATTCGAGTGTAAACGTTATCCAGAGGAAAATCATCTAAATTTTCTCTTTGTAGTTCCGTCTCGTAGACTTTACGCTAACAGAAATGCGTATGTATTCGTGATTTTTCGATCATAGTTTTCAAAAAAGAAAAAGTCATACTTAAGTATGAACTAGCTAAATAAAAATGTACCTTTATATTGTTGTCCCTTCTAATCCAGATGTGCATAAACAAAGCCTCATTTTTTCCCTTAAACTCACGTAGACTCCATCGCTTCCTTGGTGATTTTCTTTCACTTAACTGCTGAAGTCCCTCCTCGATTTGCATTTGCTTGTCTATTGGCACTGCGTCATACGCGCGTTTTATTTCGCCATTCTATTGGTTTAGCCCTCTGCCATTCAGGAGTTATTTTGGACGCCTTTAAGATTTTGGAATTCTGTTGTGGTCGTTGTAGTGTCCCCTTCATCAGCCTTGCGGTACATCGGATGTTCTTGTGAAGATGAATACCAACAAACCCATATCCGGAATAATGATTATGTGCCATTTAATTCCCTAAAACATTTAACTTAGATGCCTTATTGGCAGTAGGAGAAACTTAGAGGTGGTCTTAACTTTCGCAACTTTTTTCGGGTTTGCGAAGCGTTTTATGGAAACAGTGAGCTTTTGATTCCTGAGGTAAACGGGTGCAGCATTAATCCCGGAACCTCTTAACGAACCGTGGAAAATATGGACACGCTTGAATGTTCAAATGATATTTTAGTAGGTTTTGCTGAATCTTTGAAAGTTTTCCCAGGGCTGCTTGCTGTAGCCGTCGTGTCCGGGGCTTTTTTGGGGTTTGTCGTCGTGTTGCTGCTTTACGGACATTTTTTGAAGCCTGAAATTGTAACCTCAAAGGTAGGATATGTTTGTTTCTCCAGACAGTTGCAGATGTACTGTTATATATATATATATATAAACTGTTATATATATATATAAAAAACCTTAACGAAATTGCTACTTTTTAAGATGTACTTCCCAGGGGAAAATTTGTTCCCAGCAAAGGAACATAAAGTGCACAGATACAGGCGTACAGCAAGGGTGTCTGTTTAATTTTAACATGTATAGGGACTTAATCGGCTCCGACCCCCGTAAACACACACGGTACTCCAACATTACTGGTACGGACATGTCGCTACCGTCCAAACCCAAATCTACGCCCTTGATATAAACTAAGAACAAAGTGCAAAGGCAGTGCACAGTGCAGACAATGTTGTGCAAGAGCAAATGATGACATATAAGCAAATTATTATATCCATACACAACTAAAAAGAAGTGCACTACTCCATCCAAGGATTCATTGACTCGACGCATGGAAATCGATTAGCATTCGTTTCAGTTGTTAATGTATGTTGTTCTATATCATAGATAAAATCGCTATAACTCTCTGTTAGTTATGGGTGGATAAATTGCCTTTAAACCTGCTCTGGATTCTTAATGTTTCCCCATTTTATGTTGTTATTATGGTTCTTAAAAGACTTACCCCTTTAGTTTAGTATATTGTTTTAATTGTTTATCGTTAGATGATATAAACCTCCTAAATTCAGTTTCAGGGCTGTAACCCCAGAAGTCTATTTGAGATCAGCGAGGAGGACAAAGATGACAGTTGCAGCAATGGTGCAAGCACTGGAAGGAGGGCTCGTCGAGACCAAAAAAAGATGGTATGTGAGGCTGATGCGTTTCTAATAGTGCTGTCCCAAACGATTATTCTTTAAACGATTTAATCTAGCGATTATCTTTTTGATTATTCGACTAATCTAACAACTAATTTTCAATTGATCTGATGATAAATTCATTGATAAGCAATTATTTTCAAGTTAGTCATTTAATATAATTCACCCTCTCCCCCACACACACAAATCTGAAATTCTCATTAACATTTCAATTAAATTAAAACATTTCTTAAACATTAGAGCCATATTAACAAAAAAGGCTAATCTTAAGATATTCTATAGGTTTTTTATATGTTAGACTGAAGTTAATAATCACTGCAATAGTTTTTACTTAATTATTTCAGTACACCAATTTGACTTTAATGTTGAAATAGATGCTAAAATGTGGAATGATTTCATAACTAGAGAAACATGTTTTTAACAAACACTAGCAAAGGTAGCTTATAGTTAAGCAAGGAACAATTTAGGTTACAGTGAGTATTCGTAAATGATAATTTGTCTCACTCTTACATGACAGAATAAATAAACAGAAAATATAAAACGGCTGAAACAGTGTAATTAACGTCAGCTATAGTAGAGGTGCAGAAAAGTGACAGAAGACCGCGTGCAAGCCTTTTTTGCCGCCTGTTTCTCCAGAGGCTCCGGAACTCTGCTGGTACACACAGCCATGTTGCCTCGTGTGCAGGAGAGCAGGGCAGGGCGAGGCGGGTGGCAAATTTCCTTTTTGCAGAGTGGTAGGAGATGTTGATATTGATATTTAAGAAAGAAGTGCTACCTGAGTGTAGTTGTGCGGCACTCCTGGCTCCGGCGATATTAGACAAAACTATATTGGAATTCAGTTTATAATTGATATAGTTTTAACAGTGCCAGCAATGAAACAACTAGCCAGCTTATTAGCGGAATAACTTTATATTGTAAATGAAAACCATGCCGCAGGTCCAATAAATAAAATATTGTAGCTCTCGAGTGGCGAAGAGATCATCAGGTGAACAGTAAAGTTCAGTTATTAGCAGACTGTTTCATTGCAGGATTCTTAAAAGGACAGCGTTAACGTACTCCCGAGGGGATAAAATGTTTTCCCTTACAATACGTTTAGCTTATCACTTAGTGCATTGCAGTTACTAAACATTCACGTAGTTTTACACAACGCATCGACACTAAAATTCCTCGTTGACGCATTTTTATAATCAACTTCGCCGATTACGATGAATAATCGTCTCAGCCCTAGTTTCTAGTAACAATGGAGTGGCAGCTCCCAGGATTGATGATTTATATTGTATAAGCTTCAATTGTATAAGCCATATGGTAGGATGACAACAAAAATGGATCTCTGATGGCACAGAACAATGCAAACTAATACAAGTAATGTGTTTAAATTATGCATAAATTTCTGCCACTCAGCCTTTAACCCTCTAACAGGAGAAACCTCAGCCACCAGCCAGTAGTGATGTCGCTGCTTTTGCTCTGAAGGCAAAGGTGGTGTACCCCATCAACCAAAGATACAGGGTAAGATGGTCCTGCTTCACAAATTCTCATTTTGATTAAACATTTTCCTGTTCTATTTCACTTAATATCTATTGCAAAAGTACGTATTGGGACATAACACTTTAGCCAGGTTCAAATGGATAATGATCTGTTAGGGCTGTTGGATATGATGGGCTTGTTTATTTACAGCCATAGCTTGATTGACTTAATGGGTTTATCTGTTACAAGTAAATTACTTGTAAAATGGTAATTAGTATGAACTGAAAAACAGATAAGTAGGCTGGAGGACAAGAGGATAGGAAATTGGCCATCTGTTTCTAATTTGCATTTTTTTGTTCACCCTACGTAACAATCCTGACACACCAGTGGATCAGTTACTGCCAATTATTTTCCATAGCAACAAATTTCCAAGATGTAAATATGTAAGAAATTCTCAATTTGAGAAAAAACTAGTATGACAATTATTTAATTTCCTGGACTTGGAATACATATTTTTGGCTATGGCCAATCTGCTATTGCCAAAGATACTTTATCATTAGCAAGATAATTAAAAATATATTTGATAGATCTTTTGCAATCTTGGCAGACAGATTGTTTGGGTGATGAACTGGAAGTGCCTAAATTTTGAAATGGTTCTCACCAAAATTAACCCTTGGGAGTCTGAGGCCTCTCAGCCACTTTCGGGGTAGTCTGACATGCCTTGACATTTTAAAATATTTCACAAAAATTCATCTAAAAAACATTTATCCCAAAGTGTTACATTTGCTTTTATTCAGCACAAACTCAGCACCAATACTCTGAGACCACTTAGAATTAATTTATTCTTTTATTTTTTGTTAAAATCAACTTTAAACATATGCTTTTCAAAAACCTATTTTCAGATATGCTGAGAAATTGTAAAAAATCGCATTATAGACATTTCTAGCAAAAACTTTTGAGCTCTGAAGCTTATAGACACAGGGGTTGGCTACACATATGTGAGACATTCTGAAATTTTATGTGGTTTGATTACTAAAGTGTTAGCACTTTAGAGTGACACTCTTTTTCTCAAAGTCAGTGGCCTGCACAATGAATATTGATGAGATAGGTGTCCCCACACCTGTAGTAGTTTGCATACTGTCAATGGCCCATCAGTCTGGAATGTCACTGCACCTCACACCCATCGCTTTGGAAAGGTACTTTGAAACGCAAGAAAAGTAGCAACAATAAAATTCTTTTCACAGTTTAATGGTAGGTGGAATGAAAAACTGTGACCATATAAATATGATGCAGTGCCTATGCAGAGTTGACGGAAGTAAAATAATTAACGCTCTGGGGACGAGGGCATTGTCGATCGCGTATCTTTCTCGTGTATTTCAGTTTATATCTCGCTGAAATCATTATGTAGAATCATGAAAAAACACTGACTAAATCCATAATCTGTCTTCTTTTCAAAACCTCCATTGTCAGAAGTATTAAAGTTTTTAAAGTTAGGTTAAATCTGCAAAAAAGCAAACCATGTCAGCTTTCTTTGTTTTACCTGCATCAGGGGCGTATAGTACCACTCTCAGCTGAAGATCGCTATTCACATTCTAAATAGGCTGGGTTTGAAGCGGCGACCTTGTGATTACAGGCTTAGCCCACTGAGCCATGAACACAGGTATGAGATTCTCTGCTGAAAGTGGCAACACTGGCGCAAAGCTTCAGTGGCAGAGACGTATCCGTGTGCCATTTTGTAGCTGATCAGTGTAAACACTACCCAGACATGTGCTCTTGTTTATTTCAATCACAATGGACGTATTCACATATTTCTTTACCCAATACTAACTGTCGGATTATCATGTTATTATCATGCGAATAGCGCGATTTGCAAGTGGTTGGGCGATCAGAGCCGCTTCGAGACGCAGACGCTTAAGTCAGTCACTTTTGTTATTTCTATTCGTATCACGAAGCTGTAAAAATGTATTTAGTTTCTACCATGTTCTTAAAGCAGCACAATATCACACATTATCATATTTAACATAATATTTCTCTTATTTTACTCTCTCATTGGGCACATAGACCATAGTCATCCGACTAGTTCAGGTGCCTGCATGGATGCTCATGTCTCCACTTGCTATATCCTTCATTTCAAATTGACTGCCTCTGCACAGTTGAGTAATTGCGACTTGACATTTCATGAAATTCTGAAGCAGAGCGGCAATAATTTTGCAGCAGAGGGCCACCATTACAAAATGTACATAGCAGAAACACTGCAGTGTAATTAGAAAGAAACAAACATCTGGCACACATACAGTCGCCAAAGACTGGTAGAATATCGATGAACACAGCCCAGTGCACCACTTAAACACGGCATGAAGGGAGAAGCTGGACAGTTTTAGGTCACATGACTGCATCCTATCCTGAAGCGGCTGCCTGCATGAGCATTTGCCACAAGAGCTGTGAGTAGAAATAGAAGCATCGTAAATGAGCCGGCATCTGCAACAGGCTTAAAGCAAACCCAACCAGGCTTGCTTTTCCCTTCATCTTGCTGGTGAATCTTTGCTCATTGGACAACAAGCTGGGCAACCTGAGACTCCAGCTGACTGCCCAGCATGAAATGAGGGGCTGCTGCATCTTTATTTATATGGAGACATAATAACATCCGCAACAGAGTCATTTAGCCAGGTGGACTAACCGCATTACTTTAGCATGCGGAAAGACCTGCAGAAGAGGTTTGTCTGTGTATGTTAACAAAGAATGGTGCAGACGTGCTACAGTAATCAGAAGCCGCTGCTCAGCAACAGTGGAGTTTATCTGTAAAGTTTGGTCCTTTTTACCGCTGTGATTGTAGCGGCTGTTTACATCCCTCCCGAGGGGTAACGATAAGGAGGCTCTGTATGGGCTTTATGGGGCTATCGGTGAGCTGGACATGGCACACCTAGATGGTTTTTTTGTTTCCAATAACTTTAATCAGGAGAATCAGAAGACAGCTCTACACAAGCTCTACCACCATGTGAACTTTCCAGCAAGTAGGGAGACCAAACTGGTCTTGGTCTTCACAAACACATCTGATGCACTGCATCCTGCTCCCAACTCTGACCAACTTTTACCAGCATACAAAACATTGCTTGAAATGTCCAAGCAAGTCCAAAGACAGATCAGGGTCTACCCAGCAGGCACTGCCTCATCAATGCAAAACTGTTTCAACAGCACAGACTGAGACGTTTAACGTATGGTCATCAGTTTGGAGGAGTATGCATCATTCGTTACTAGTGTTCTCATTTAGTCCTAGTCTTTGCCAGCACATGAAAGAGCAGGCACAGGTGTCTGAATTTGCCTTGAGGCAAATCACACAAAGTTGGAATTTTAATAAAGAGTTTTAAGAGGTGGACAGAGTTTGTAGGGTGAGTATTACGGTAATGTTTTGAGTTTACTTTGGGATTTTTATTTGCCAAAATTTATCGTGTGCAATACTGCCCAAGAGTACTATAAGGGGGGCTAGAGATAGAGGTTTGGGGTTTGTAAGAGGAGTGGTAATTGGATGGAAGAGGGGATGGTGGGGCCCTCCAGGCAATACAGTTGTCATTTTTTGTCAGCTTGTATGTATGCAGAACTAGTTTAGTGTTTTTTATATATTGTGGGATGCTCATGGTTCACCATGGTGAGTACTTGCCGACAGTGGTCCGAGGAGGGAAAGACCACAATAGTCAGAGCCAAGATTCCTCATTGTGGGAGGCTGCCAAAACAACCACGACCCAACAGGATGTTTCTCAGAGCATCACACTCACCCCAGCAGTCTTCTTCCTACGGTCATCCTGGTGTACACTATATTGCCAAAAGTATTGGGACACCCCTCCAAATCATTGAATTCAGATGTTCCAGTCACTTCCATAGCCATATGTGTATAAAATCAAGCACCAAGGCATGCAGACTGCTTCTACAAACATTTGCGAAAGAATGGGTCTCTCTCAGGAGCTCAGTGAACTCAAGCGTGATACCGTGATAGGATGCCACCTGTGCAATTAGTCCATTCGTGAAATTTCCTCACTACTAAATATTNCTACAAACCTTTGCGAAAGAATGGGTCACTCTCAGGAGCTCAGTGAATTCAAGCATGGTACCTTGATAGTCCATTCATGAAATCTTCATGTTACTAAATATTCCACGGTCAACTGTTAGTGGTATTATAACAAAGTGGAAGCAATTGGGAACAACAGCAACTTAGCCGCGAAGTGGTAGGCCACGTAAAACCACAGAGTGGGGCCAACACATGCTGAGGCACACAGTATGACGAAGTGGCCAACTGTCTGCAGAGGCAATAGCTACAGACCTTCAAACTTCGTGTGGCCTTCAGATTAGCGCAAGAACATTGCATAGAGAACTTAATGGAATGGGTTTCCATAGCCAACCAGCTGCATCCATGCCTTACATCACCAAGTATAATGCAAAGGATCCAATGCAGTGTTGTAAAGCATGCCACCACTGGACAAATGCTTCTCTGTCTGGCAATCCGATGGACGAGCTTGGGTTTGCCAGACTGCATTGTGCCAAGTGTAAACTTTAGTGGAGGGGGGATTATGGTGTGAGATTGTTTTTCAGGGGTTGGGCTTGGCCCCTTAGTTCCAGTGAAAGGAACTCTTAATGCTGCAGCATTCAAAGCCATTTTGGACAATTTCATGCTCCCAAATTTGTGGGAACAGTTTGGGGATGGCCCCTTTCTGTTCCAACATGACTACTCACCAGTGCACCAAGCAAGGTCCATAAGGACTTGGATGAACAAGTTTGATATGGAGGAACTTGATTGGCCAGCATAGAGCCTTGACCTTAACCCGATAGAACACCTTTGGGATGAATTAGAGCGGAGACTGCAAGTCAGGCCTTCTCTTGCAACATCAGTGCCTGACCTCACAAATGGTCTTTTGGAAGAATTGTCAAAAATTCCCATAAACACACTCCTAAACCTTGTGGACAGCCTTCCCAGAAGAGTTGAAGCTGTTATAGCTGCAAAGGGTGGGCCGACTCCATATTAAAGCCTATGTATTAAGAATGGGATGTCATTTAAATTCATGTGTGTGTAAAGGCAGGTGTCCCAATACATTTGGAAATGTAGTGTATCTGCTCCTGGAGGAAATGCATCACACACCCATTCACATAATGTAAAAGGAAACTGGACTTATTTCATCAGTTGACATTCTAACTGGAGCTGGTGTGTGTAAAATCAAAAACAGTCTAGGCAGCAGTAACATTTGATCTCGGAAGAAAATCACAATGGGGTCTCTGTCAGCCTGTTTCACAGTACATGGTAGTTAGTAAAACCAGTGCTGTCTTTGTTACAGCTTTTACTGTTCCATCCATCCATTATCTCCCGCTTATCAGAGGTCGGGTCACGGGGGCAGCAGTCTCAGCAGGGAAACCCAGACGTCCCTCTCCCCGGCCACTTCATCCAGCTCCTCTGGGGGAATCCCGAGGCGTTCCCAGGCCAACCGAGAGACATAGTCCTTCCAGCGTGTCCTGGGTCTTCCCCGGGGCCTCCTCCCAGTGGGACACGCCCGGAACACCTCACCAGGGAGGCATCTTAATCAGATGCCCGAGCCACCTCATCTGGCTCCTCTCAATGTGGAGGAGCGGCTCTACTCTGAGTCCCTCCCGAATGACAGAGCTCCTTACCCTATCTATAAGGGAGAGCCCAGCCACCCTGCGGAGGAAACTCATTTCGGCCGCTTGCACTCACGATCTCGTTCTTTCGGTCACTAGCCACAGCTCGTGACCATAGGTGAGGGTAGGAACGTAGATCGACTGGTAAATCGAGAGCTTTGCCTTTTGGCTCAGCTCCTTCTTTACCATGACAGACCGATGCAGCGCCTGCATCACTGCGGATGCCGCACCGATCCGCCTGTCGATCTCCCGCTCCATCCTCCCCCCACTCGTGAACAAGACCCCGAGATACTTAAACTCCTCCACTTGGGGGAGGACCCCCTCCCCGACCCAGAGAGAATTCGAGGTGAGCCCAACTCTGTCTAGCCAGAACTTCACAACCTCGCGCACCAGCTCAGGCTCCTTCCCCATCAGAGTGGTGACATTCCATGTCCCAAGAGCTAGCTTCTGCAGCTGAAGATCGGACCCCCAAGGTCCCCGCCTTTGGCCACTACCCAGCTCACATCGCACCTGACCCCTATGACCCCTCCTATAGGTGGTGAGCCTATTGGAGGGGGAGCTTTTACTGTTATGTCACAAAAATGTTGATCACAGTGCAAATGAGAATAATAAATGTAACATTCACATTTAGATATATAAAGAAAATAATAAAAATGACATTTTAAGATAAATACAGTTAACTGCCTGATTGATGGGGAAGAATTATGCAAATTGGCAATGTGAAATGTGCAATAAATTAATAGATGTACTTTCAGAGTTAAGTGTCACAATTGGGACACAAAGCATTAGGGTAAAAACATGTTTGTTGGCTTCCACATTTATAGTTGAGCCATCCAGTAATTCTAGAAACTAGTCATTGGGGGGTAAGGGAGGAGTAGGGATTATATAAGGGGTGGGGGTGACTGGGCTGTCTGGGGAAAATGTTGCGACAGCATACTTACTATCTATTTCACTGTAAACGAGGAGGAGTCCTATTTGTATAACCAAATATCTGATTGAATTGGAAAAGATATGCCATATGATGTTAAGGTCAAGTACAGGGGTGGGCAATTGTGAGGGACCAGCAAGCAGACACAGGGGCACAGAATGTGTTACTAACCAAAACCTTACTGAAAATCCAAAAATCATCAAAATACAAAAGAATACCCAACAAAGGAAAATCCTGGGCCCAATAAAATGAGGTCAACCAAACAGAATGAAACCAAAATTAAAGCATAACATAACCCAACAATAACTGACCTCCCAAATAACACACCGGGGGAACATATATACTGGGTGATCAGTCCAGCAACACACACAAGGAGGAAACACTACCATAACATTTACTGTATACCTACATGCCAATAACTCCATAAACCCAATAACATATTTAGCCCATCAAATTATACAAATAATTTTATAAAGAAAAACTAAATCAAAAATGTTAACAAGAATATAATAAACAATTATGCTAAAACCCAACTCCCCATCCCCCTACTGTGGGCACCTGTTGGTACCGCCGATGAGAATTTAAAGGGAACCATGATAATAGGGTTTGCCCGTCGGACCGAAAAAATGCATGCACCAATTCCAGTTGTTTCACTCCTCCAGGTAACTGCAACTTAAGAATATAAACACATGAATATAGACACAATCGTACCTTGTTAAATGAACATCCTGACAAATAAAATTGATTATATGTGTCTTGCGTATTTCATGAGAATAGTGATGAAAAACCAAACCATGTATAAATGCATATAAATGAAACCTGGGTAAAACATATTCCAGTAGTACTTGTGCATGCGGGTCAAGGTGGGGTTACCACATTACCATTGTGTGGCCATCTCTGGTTTTTGGGATAACCTGTAGGTCAGCTGTTCAAACCTAGGTGTGAGGACTTTTCAGGCAATCAGTCCTCTAATTAGTAATATAATTAGGGAGTTGCAGCGAAAACCTGCATAAACGCTGGCCCTTTGTGAATAAGATTGCCCACCCCTGGTCTAGTAGAAAGGGATTTTACTGGTATTTGCAAAGTTACATTCTGCTCATTGTATAGCTGTTTTGGTATTTTGAAGGAAAAAAATCTGTTACAATGAATTTATTGCCAATGATTTCATACTGGCAATACTTTCATACATCTTCAGAACCGTTGTTCTCTGCTTTGCATCATGGGTAGCCCCTGGCTGATGGCGCCTCCAACCCTTCCCTGCACGAGAACTCCAAGCTGATGATGATGCACCACCCAGAATCCCTGTCCTCCTCAAGTCTGGAGTCCCTGAGCCAGGACAACAACGATGACGACAGCAGTCAGTTTGTTTCCTCATCCCCTGTCCCCAAGACTTTCCAGAATGAAAGATTCGTCAGGGTCAGCCGTTTTCCAGAGACCCTCTGCTGCACCGGGTAGGCTGGAGAAAGAGGGTTCAGCAGGTCGCACACGAGGCCCTTTGCTTCAAAGGTTGTCTGACATTAAACCTAAATGCTAGAGTACTCTGTTGTACTTCCTGCTAATTTCCAGTGAGGATTTATGTCACCCCTTCCTAAGCAGTTGACTCAACAGTTAACTTCTCGCAGTTCATTTGGAACATTGATACGGGTGTAATGGTACACAAAATTCACAGTTTGGTGCATACCCTGATTTTGGGTTTATGGTTTGGTGCTATTTCAGTACATCAGGGAAATCAGTATTGAAATAATTTATCAGTAAAACAGTAAACTCAATTAAACCAAAAACAATCTATCAATATGTCTGAATAACAAAATTATTGGAACTAAAAAATAAAAATATAAAATAAATTTCAAAATAAGACTCATAATGAACTAAATCACATCCAAATTTTGTTCTCTACTACTGTGGTTGCATATCTGTAGTTGGGATCTGCAGATCCAAAGTGAAATAGAAATTCTTTCGAAATATTTTCATTTTGAGTATCAATACTAACATTAACAATTTTAACTACTACCAGGTACGGTAGATTGAAGAAGCAATCAGCCCCCCCTTGTCCGCTAGGAAAATTTTATCGTCAGGGTTGGGTTGGCACTGTATATCAGTGTCGGGGCAATACCAACCTACCATATCACCCATTCCTAATCTGTGGTGATAAACATCCCTAATAGCCTCAGCTAATCTTTTGGCCTGTTCTGAATTTCCTGGCAGAAATGGCTTAAATGTCACAGGGAGACTAATTTATAGTCTGGCTAATTTGAATAAAATAGAATAGATCTTTATTGCCATTGTTTTAAAAACAACAAAAGATCGTTTAGAAGCTCTGGGATTGACAGCATAACATAATGTAAACATAACATAGACATAAATCATACAGAATACGCAGTAGTGGTGCAAAATGGTAATAACATAGGATGTAAGCAAAAAAAGGGCCTTTCTCTGGTTTACACACACTTGGATGATGTCGTTGCAAATGAGTTAGCATGTTGGATGTGATGACAGCAGCTCCTGTTTGCCACAATGATTGACTAGCACTAGTCATAACCAACTCATAACCACTCAATAATTTCAGTGTTGAACATCTACTTGTGAATGTTGGTTCTGCCCGTGTCAAGACATGTATTCTTTCATTTCATTTCGCATTACAAACCAAAAATAATGTGACTGAATGGTACATGACGAATATGTGTACCATTACAGCTCTACACATTGAGCTTAACCCTTTTGCTGATGACCTTTGTTTTTTAGTTTTGAAGGCCGGATTGGTCTCTACTGTTTGGGCTTTCAAAGCTTTCAGCAGTTCTGTTCTGAACTTCAGGAGGAGAGGCATACGGTAGGTTTGCGTAGTTGTTTATTGATTCTAGGGCTGAATGATTTGGGCAAAATATCTAATTGCAATTTTCCCGACAGATACTTGGTTGCATTTTGATGTGCGATATTTTTTAAAAGACAAGCTTCAGTTCAATATTCAGTGCTTAATATATTTAAAACATATATCACAGCATTTCCACATGAGATACCAACAAAATATTAACTGGTCCATATTTTAATGAAAGGATGAGAACTTAAAGATATGAATTACTTGCAATATGTATTTATTACTTTTTAAATGAGCAGAAAACAAATATAAAGCAAGTATCACAAAAGTTGTGACTGTGTTAAATAAAGTAGAAATAGTAAAAAAACACAAAACAATAGGGATGCTGCAGCTAACTCTGCTTGTACGCCTTATAATAGGAGCGTCCTGTGAACAATCTCTGACCATGAAATATGTAGGTAATTCACTTATAGCTCAGCAGCGGGAACAATATTTTTTGGAAATGTAACATTTTCCTTGGGTTTCATGGTTGTTGTTTTTGGGTGTATACGCAGTGGCCTTGGGCCACTTCTGATTGGTGAGCATGACTGGCATGCGAGGAGCACGGCACTTCTGATTGGTGAGCATGACTGGCATGCGAGGAGCACGGCACTTCTGATTGGTGAGCATGACTGGCATGCGAGGAGCACGGCACTTCTGATTGGTGAGCATGACTGGCATGCGAGGAGCACGGCATTTCTGATTAGTGAGAATGACTGTCACACAAGGAGGATGACATGAATTTGTAAAATGATTATCACAACAGTTTTAAGCCCTGGGTCAAACGTGCTATATAATGCATTTCCTAAATCATAATAATTTAATAATAAGTCTTTGCCATTTGCTAATCATGTTGTTTCAAATTGCGATTTTGGTTTGCAATCGATAAATCATTCAGCCCTAATCTACTTATTTGTCTTTGTTTCAATTTGTTTGTTTTGAACATTGTAACCCATATAAAAATGTAGTATTTATATAGACATCCTCAGATTGTTTTTTTTTTTTTTTTTTTTTTTTACCTGAGGCCTATCATAAACAACACAAGGCAGGGGAGCCCCCATGATAGGATGCCAGTCTTATCACAGTAACATGCACAGCATCACACATTGATGCTAACTGGTAATGTCATGTCTTTGTCCTGTGAGGAGAAATGCAATGGGGAGAACATGCAAGTTACAGACATAGTGAAAGTAAAAGCAAGTTCATGCCCCCAGCCATAGAGCTGTGACACAGCAGTGCTAAACTACCATACACTGTTGCTGCCAAATGTAGTATTATTAAATGTACTCTAATCACCTGTCCATTCTCTGGCATTCTTTCTTTTGCAGAGCTTTCTCCAGATTCTTAGAATTATTTTAAATGAATGCTTTCAAAAGGAGAAAATGGATTCAGCCTTTTCCAGCAATGTTCTTCTGATGCAGCATAAGGTGAAACTGTCTCTGACAAGTTTTGTGATTGTTTCATTGAATGGATGTTGGGTAATAGATGATTTCTAGAGTTCATATTTTCCTGAAATTCATTTAGAATGCTCATTGTGGTAATGTGCAGCTCTTTGGGTCAGGACTTGTGATCGGTTGAAGGTATGGGTGGCAAATAGAGCTGGGCGATATGGCCTAAAAATAAAATCTCCGATTTTTTTCACAATAAATCCGATTTTCGATTTTAATCGATTTTCCCCTCCCCTACTCAAAATCAAACTACAGATGACAAATAAATGGTTCAACACGAGTTTTAACTTTATTTTGTTTTGTTTTTTTACTTTAGAGTTAAAGTGCAATCTGACAAGCCAAAAAATATGCTTGTGAGATGGCAGACCACGCCATTGTAAACACTTTTAGAAACTTGTAAAAAGTTTTAGCATGTTAATGAATCCCGGCTTTTCCACAGTATGTATACGAGCACCATGTCTTTTGCAAAATACATCGCGACAGCGTTTGTTATCGCCTTCCACCGTGCCCCATTCTTATCATATGGCACACAGTTCGAAAACGTGTCAGGGACGGTTGCTTGCTTAACTTTGGATGTTGTGCTGGTGCTGCGGGTATTTTCATTTCGCTGGGAGCTGCACTTCTCCCACTCCGCTGTGTGCCTCTGCTTTAGGTGCTGGAATAAATTTGTCGTGCTGCTTCCTTTGGTTGCAACAGTTTTTAAACAGACTTTGCAACAAGGACTTGTTTGGTCTGTGTCCGACGGCGCAAAACCGAACCATCGCCGTGTTGTTTCTGAATCCGCTAGAATGTTTGGGTGCGCTGCGCTAATTTACCTGTGAAGAACGGTGCGTCGCATTAGTTCCGCTTTTGGCGCTTGCGTGTAAAATAAGTAATAAAACCAATTTTCATAAAAACACATCGTCCTGAACTGTAAATTAGAATTAATCGATAAAATCGATTTATCGCCCACCTCTAGTGGCAGAGTGGTCATATCAGTGTTGGGCCCTTGGGCAAGACCTTGAAACCTGAAAACTGTTGCAGGGGAACTGGATAAATGACTGACCTTGATCTCTGAGTCCAAGTTTCATTCTCACCTCTGTATGTCAGTCTCATTGGGGCGAAAGATGGGACATGTTAAAACCTAATTCCTATGTACTTTTACAAATGAAGCAACACTGTTTATTCTAATTTGCTTGGTTATAGAGTGTTTATGGTAATGGGTTATTTCATTTGCAGGAGCTGGAAGAACTGAAGAAGGAGGCATCTGTGAAACTGTTAAATGCAGAAAGGAACGAAGATGCCAGTTCAGGCTGCTCCACCCTGGAAGAGATGGAAAGAGCTGGAAGGGACAGGCTGGAGCATGGACTTCAGATGGTAGTCTTCTCTGTGGCCAATGCCACTTGTAACCTAACGTTATTAGCACGGTCATGGGTCCACTTTCAGTAATCTGATGCCAGTTGTTCTTGTGGGTTCTGTGGCCTCAGTGATCAGCCTGTTAGGGTTGCATTTTGAACCACAAGGTCTAGCTGGGCAAAAGTAGCATATTACACACAAAAATACATCAATCTTTATAAACAGAAGTTTTATTTTACTTACCAAATGAGCTATACTCAGAAATGTAGGGATGATATCTGTCCAGAATGTAAGTTCAGTTCTGTGAAGTATCCAAAACATAGTACAAAGGTATGAACCATAGCAAACGCTGGAGCAAAATCAATCTGGCAACACCTTCTCCTGTCCTAGTCTCAGCATGGGGAATGTCCAACTGTCAGTCCGTGTGTGTGTAATCAGATTTGTAAAAGAATGTGTGTAAATGCGTACAAATGTAAATTGTGTAAATTTGTAAATGCGTACTGAGATTCACAAATGTGTACAGAAATCTGTAAATGTGTGAGGATTTGTCTCTACGTTTTAATCTAGTAGTGAAAAGGATTCTATGGGGGTTGACTTTCTTGTAGCACCAGAATATAGTTAACACCATGGCGAATTCAGATGCACATTCTGAAAAAATTCTGCATCAATATGGCATTTAAAAATGTAGCCTACGTATTGCTTTTGTGTTTTTTTAGCAAAACATTTTTCCACAGTCGCTTGTCCGTCTTTCAACAGGTTGACAATCCCTGGCACCAGGCAGTTCATTTTGGCATTTAATTTTATTATTCATTAGTAGAGAGATTAATTCTTCATTTCACTGTATGGATCTGTTAATCTGAAAATCATTCTCTTTTTACAGGTTGTGGGCTTTAGTAAGCAGTTGGAACGGCTGTGCCAACACCTGCAGGGCAGAGTTGGTGCTCCCCCAACAGAGGGTGCTGGGCAAATGATGTGCATCCTCATCTGCAGCCTCCTATTGGTTGAGAGGGAGCTGGCTGAAGTTCAGAACTCTCAGATGAAGGTAAGATTTACACATCCTATTGTTTTGGCTGATATATTTACCTTGGCATGATTATAAATGATTTTGACTCAAACTCCCAACTCTACAGCACACCAGCCACTTCCTCACAGTACATAAGTTATTGCCTGTTGGTCCCTTAAGATTTTATAGCCCCACCTGCAAAGCCATCATACTGAAAGTGATGTCTGCTGTGCAGAGCATTCAGGAGAAGCTGCTGTGGTGGGAAGAGCTTGCAGCCTGGCTGCAGTCCCGGACAGCATTGCTGAGGCAGGAGGCAGTGTGCAGGCTGAGACTAGTAGCTAAGGCCCTGGAGCAGCTGACCAGCGATGGGCAGCTCAGCTTCTCCCACATGGAGGGTTTGCTGTCTGAGCTAAAGGGGATGCTGCGAGATGAGCTGCAGCAGTGCAATGAGGGTGAGGCCATACGAATGCTTTATCTGACCACTGCTGTACAATAACACTGTAACTTCTATTGCAGCAGCTGCTTCCCATAGTATCTTGCTGTCATACACTGCAAATTCATCTTTTCCTCTCTGTGGTCTTTCCTCAGAGTGCATTGGCCAGTTGAAGGAGCTGGTAAGGGAGCGGGGAAGGAAGATAGATGCTAAGAGGAGGCGTCAGCTGAAAGCCCAGGCCAAAGAGCGGAACAGCATCCTGGATACAGTGGTCCAGTATAGGGACCCCCAGGAATTTCTCAAGGTGCCTTACAGAACTTTTCAGATTTTTGTCTTCAGTTTAGACTACTTTAGCATCTATAGTAGTATCCCTCATTACACATTTAGGTAGGGTCAGCTTTTTTGTTACCCATGAAGCCTAACTAAGGATATCCCATGATGTTTGGGTTTCTCCCTGTGAAGGTGTACCAGGCTCTGCTGGTTAGGCAGCGGAAGGAGATCACTGACCTGGAGGAGCAGCAAGACTGGAAACTGACAGAGGCTGTGTGTGATCTGTGGAAGGTGAGGGGTGTGTGTGTGTGTATGTGAGTGTGTGTGTGCGTGCATGCGTGCGTGCGCGTGTGAGTGTATGCGTGTGTGCATAGATCGCATTTGAGGACCAAATTGTCCCCAAAGTGTAGTAAAACCTGAAATTTCCCTACTTTTGGGGACATATTTTGAGGTCCCCATTTGGATAACCTCAGTTTTATAAAAAAAAACTGTGAATGCAATCGAAAAAGTAAAAATGCCAAAAGTTTTGTATTTGGGTTGGTTACTTATGGTTAAGGTTAGGGATGGGTAGAGGTTAAGGGTGTCGTGATTGGGATTATGGTTTTTCCCATAGAAATGAATGGACGGTCCCCATTTACATAGGAAGACCAACTTTCACTTTAATGAGGTCTCCATGAAAATGGAGCAGATATCTATGCATAGTAGGGCTGCAACTAACGACTATTTTGATAGTCGACTAGTCATCGACTATTAAAACGATTAGTCGACTAATCGGATTATAAATTGCATAATTATAAAATGGCTCCTATTTAGCTTCCAGCTTTTACATTTAGCATGAGGTTATTGTTCGACATCAATGCCGCAAAACAACACATG